GTGCTCGTGAATCAAAGAAGTCTTGGAGAGTCTGCCATTGGCTAAACTGCTCCCTGTATTCTCTGACTATCTCTTCATCCTGCAACAGGGAGCAGTTTAGTTTCCAAATCCCTCTGCCTACTGTCACGTCCGTGGTTAGTGCAAGGGTGCAGGATAGCATTGCGTGATCAGAAAAGTAAACGGGAGTCAATCTAGCATCAGTTGGTGGGCATTCACATGTAAAAACATAGTCAATACGAGAGGCTTTGGTGCCATCACCACTGATCCAGGTGAAGCCCTCCTCTCTTGGATGCAGACTTTTAAAACAGTCAACTAGTTTAAAATCTCTGACTAAGCTTTGCAGTAAAACTGATGTTTTGTCCACTCTAAAATCATCCCCTGTTCTTTTCCTATCTGCTCTAGTTAAAACACAGTTAAAATCCCCTGCTACTACAAGGGGAGCCCTCCCCAGCATGTGGGGCTGCAAGTCCTCTAAAAGCTCATACTAGAGTTGAGCCGGATACTCGGCTGAAACGAGTATCCGGTACGGATAAAGCACTTTTGTCGAGTACAAATATTATACGAGTAATACGAGTCAATATCTGTGCTCGGATAAAAAAAAAAAGGAAAGTAATGTTGAAATTAGGGCTGAGCGATATATCAATATAAAGAATATATATATATATATATATATTAAATGTGATATGTAATTAGAGTTTGCGCTGCACGCCTTGCTCCAAGCAAGCTGCTGAGTGCTGACCCAGAGCTCTCTGCACTGCTCCCCGCGCCCCAGCCACTCCTTTCCCACTTTGCGTGCTTGATTAAAGCATGTTATGTTATAACATGAAATAAAGTCTTTCACCTCAGCAAAACGGACTTTGTCCTGTCAGCCGTTATACTGTAGCGTTAGTCGTAGCGCACACTCAGTTGCACGCGCAAATGCGGCGGCGCGCGCTGGATCGCCTCACTGTATATAAAGTGCAAAAGAAACTACGAGCATGCAACACCGTTATGTTGTAAATAACACGAAATAAAAACAAAGCAGGTATGATTTTAATTCTATTCACCAGGAGCAGTTTCAATGTTTCATTAACAGTATTGTGTATTCACCAAGGTAACTGTCATGTCTATATTAACCCCTTAATGCCCCTATTTTTCTTTGTGTTATTTTTTATATTTTTTAAATGAATGTAATGGCTCATACCAACGTTGTATTAACAAAATAAATAAACCAATTAATAAATCACAATTACAATTCCAAGGGAATAATCTGCAATTAAGATTTTTGTCATAATCATGCAGCCCTAAGGTGAAGAAACCTGTTTATTATTTATTCATTTGATTTAGCAAATGTTCAAGTTTCAATAAAACTACTTGTGACATGTCATATTTGGCTTTGACCTGAACGTTTGCTCTCACTTTGCAGAAAAAATATTGGGATATATTTTGTATATTGAAATTCAGCCTAAATATATCGGGATATGACTATTGGTCCATATCACCCAGCCGTAGTTGAGATGAAAACTCTTGTTCGTTACATTTTACTTCATATTTGCAACCACATGTGTTGTATTCATTGTTGCAAAACTTCTTCTGTAGTTCGTTTGTTATCGTGATCAAAACCATTGATCTGAAGCTCAATGCTGATGCTGTCATGTAAATAGTTTTCTTATCAGCAATAAATATAACAATTTCTGATCAACCCATATCAATTGCATGCTTAAAATAACATACCGGTTAAAGCCCCGCCCATTTCAAGACTACCCGACCCACTTCCGGGTTTAGGCCCCGCCCAGTCCGAGTACAGATACAGATACAGATAATTCATATGGTTATACAGATACAGATACAGATACAGATAATGCTGTACTCGCTCATCCCTAGCTCATACCTTTCATTTATTTCCGTAAAACCATATACATTGCACACTTTAAAATCCCTCCCTAAAAAGGTCATGTTTGCTAAAAGTGCCCGTCCGTCCCTCACCACTGTGCTGCCCTTTACCAAGATATTGGGATTTTTAATCAGTATAGCGACTCCATCGTTTCGATTAAAATTTGACCCACTCCATATTGAGGGTCCAGAGGTCCACATCTCTTCCCATTTCCTGTACTGAGTTAAAAAAGGCAAAGCACACTCTTGTAATAAAAACATATCTGAATTACATGATTTTAGAAAGGTAAAAATGCTCTGTGCTCGAGACGTGGACCTCACACTTCTCACATTGATAGTCGAGATTGTGAGGGCCATGAGCAGTATTAAATAGAAAGGCATGGAGCTTAAAACATACATTTTTAAAAGGTTAAAATTTTAAACAAATAAAATCATAGAATTCCCTGTGCCTCCTGCCTCTCCCCTCTCTCATGGGGACTGGGTTCAGGGGGGCAAGAGTTTGACACCTCCAGATCCACAGAGCTGAACTCTTGTGACCCTTTCGGTGTCAATGTTCTCAGCTTGAAATGCAGAAAGGAAACTTCATTGGGGGATTCTGAGGGCCACACGCGGTCCAGAACTTCCGGGGAGGAACTATCTGGCCAAAGTGTGGCCCTCTGCCTTTTCTCCACTGTTATACACAGAGGAGATCCCGCAGTTCTCTTCTGCACTTGAGCATTTGGGAGTGAAGATTCAACTTCACTCCCACTGGAGTGCATACTCACCTCCGAGACGGTATTGAGGGAGGAAACCGTTTCGTCCTCTCCATTTTCTATTTCTTTGCCTTTGTCTAGCCTGGGAGTGGTTTCCTCCCCCTGTTCCGTTTCCATTTGTGGCTCCACCCCTGTGGCCGCCCCACTTCCTCTTTCCTGACCAATCCCTGAGGCTGGCTGGGAATTTGAAATTCCCGCCAAAACCTCAGGGATCACCTCCTCCTTCCTTTGTTCTTCCCTTTGATCTGTTTGTGGGGCGGCCATTTTGTTGCTTTTAAGTTTGTTGGCAAAACTTTTCGGGCAATCTCTGTAGAGATGGGATGACTCTCCACAAAGATTGCACTTTCTGCCATTGTGGCACTCTTCAAAGGTGTGCCCAATCTCTCTACACGTTCTGCAAATTATTTCCTGACATGCCTCGGCGAGATGTCCAAGTTTGCCACACTTACGACATAGCTTGGGCATCCCTTGGTAGTGAATGTAGCCTCTATTCTCCCCCAACACAATCATTGATGGTATTTGACCTAGGCCATGGTAGCTGTTGGGATCTGCCCATTGTTGTATGGGCACTCTCCACGCACAGCTCCAGATACCGTCTTCGTCTAAAACCTTGACTGGTTGTCCGCGAATAGAGCAATATCTTGCCAACCACACAACAATGTCCTCTCCACTCACAGTTTCATTAAACATCCTGACAATCACAACTTTCAGTGAATTATCAGTCAGCTTTTCCACTGTGAACATGGAGAAATTGGCTTTGCATGTTTCAAACCGAGACCAGAAAGTATTCAGCAGATTAGCGGATGCAAAACTTACATCAAAACCCCGATTTTGGGGCAGAGTCAACAAACAGTTTATATCCATTGCTTTAAAACCTAGAGTCTGTTGGATGTACTTCCGTGAAAAATCCAATCTAGAACAAGTCAGGAGAGTACCATCCTCTTTTGGCTTGAAATTAAAACGCACGCTGTGGTGCCTCCTCACGCCGGCACGAGCAGCCGACATGTTGGAGGCACCACCAGCCCGCTGCGGCTAAAATTCAAACAATAAATACACAATAATAAATAAATTAAAACCTGCTTACCTTAAAAACCAGAGGATTCCTCGCAAAACGAGTCGTCAATAAAAAGCCGCTTGTCACTATACCTCCTGAAGGGTGTATGTCCCGTGTGACAAGCAACACACGAGACCAAGTCCCACAAGAGGCGATCGCAGTCTCAACCGTCTGACAAGATACTTGATCTTAGCCAAAAGGCCGAGAAGCGATGACGCAGCGACGCCGAGGCGGGGGAGCCGGCAAAGGCCACGCCCACCTGGGCCGCGGCGAGAGGGTCTAAGGTCGCCGGCAAACAAGCTCAGCTCAGATTGGTTGACACCGAAAATGGATCACAACAGAGTGCACAGCACGACACTCTGGAGTGCAACCTGGGATTTTGGATCATCAACATTCCGCCCTAAAAGTGAGCGGGCAGACCAAAGCGTCCGTGGTAGAGACTTGAAACTCTGAGGGATGGTGGGACCGGCCCGGTACTACAACCTCACCAAGGCTCGCCCAGATCGGCCCCAAGGTGGCGCTGCAGGGATCAAAAGTACGAAATGGCTCGTAACTCCTCGACCATCGGTCGCAGACCCAAGTGTCTTACATCACCGGAATCCTTGGCTCGAGCCGAACAAGATGCATGCCTCGGATTGGGTGGTCGCACGGCGAGATTTTCGGGTATTTTGGATTTTCTGAAAAACCTACTTTTGCACACTAGTCCTAGGTTTTTTGCCCGATCTGACCCAAACCGGTGCAGAAAGATTCTCTGGAGTCTGACTGCAAACAGGGATTGGGAAACAGTTGGAAGTTCCATCCACGTTGGCGACGGTACGCCAAAACGTTGGGGGTGGGCGAGGCGGGCTTTACTTAAATGGCTATAACTCTCCAACGGAATGAGACAATTGCACCCAATTCGGTACACCTGTGTACGGGCTCAGCCTGTGGTCACGTGAAGAGGAATGCGGCGACTGGCCACTTGGTGGCGCTGTAAACAGAAAAAAACACAACATGGGTGGCTGTATATCACGTGACGTTTCACACGTGCACAATGTTTTCATACCACATGATAGAACTCCTCATTCCGAACAACTTTGCCTCCAGGACAACTGCTGTGAACTAAGTCGTTCGTCAAATATTGGAGATTATTTGAAGAATTAAGGAGAAAAAAGAAAACCCCCCTCACACAGACCGGTCCTAGACTGTTTCGTATCTCCCGAGCAACCACTGCAGTTCAACTCTCTGGACTGCCTCTGGATATTGAAGAAGTGGAGAAAAAAAACAAAACAAAAGAACCTCAAGTGGAGCTTTAACAATCTGCCCTTTTAACCAGTGTTGTCCAGGGGAGAGCGCGAACGCAGTCCCCCACTACCATAAATTATGCAGTCGAGATTCCCACATTTGGGGAATTCGCAGGGGTCAGCACAACCCAGATGTTAAACTGACAGAGGAACAGGGGTTCCTTTTTGTCTTGTTTTTACACCACAATTCTACCCAGGCTAGTATAGCACATGATCACCTACAACACCCACTCACACTAGCTCCATTATCACCTTCTGCCACACAAGACCACTACATTTCTTTCATTGAACACTTTAGGAGGGTGCACCGTTCCCAGAAGTACTGCAATACCGGGTCGATGCGTGGAGTGGACGGAGCAAGCCCCTATTCCATCTCCCAGGACCAAAAATCAATTTAATATATGGTGCCCGGGTAGGGCACGTATCAGATATTAAACTGATAAGAACAGATTTTTTGATTTGAAATTTTTTTATTGTTCCATTTCATTCATATACACGTCATTTCATTGTTATGTTTTTTCCCAGCATGTTCACATGTTCATTTTGATTTCGAGCAACAGTAAAACAGTTGTATGTGTTTATCTAGAAGTAAATACGTAAAAACATGAATGAAGACAGTAAAAAAAGAATAGAATAAATAAACAGATAAAATTATAAAAACAGGCTTTTAAAAGCTCTCTCTTCCGTTGTGCAGGAGCGGGTATGTCCTTATAACCATTTCAAGACCTCCACTCAGCTCTTCAGAACCAGTCCCAGAGACCTAGCCCTTCTGGGCCCAGAGGAGATCCTCTTTAACCGTGGCTCCGCTGCTCCCCCTAGGGTGTTGGGGGCATCTGCGGGCAGTCAGGGCTCGTGGCTGTGGGGACCTTTTCCTGTGAAGCTCTGACCCCCACCTCCGAATGGCGACATGCGGTGTAACCCTGCAGCCTTGATTTGGCCAGCTGAATGATGGCATGGAGGGGCACCTGCATGCGCTTTCCTACCAGTAGGTTTCTGGAGGTCCAAATGGCGTCTTTTATGCAGAGGATGGTGAGCCAGAGCTTAGGTGTTGTTTTTGCTTGGATGTCCTCCTGGCTCACCCCTCCTCTCCCCATAGGATAGTCTGGGACCCCCCCTACTGGCAGGTACGGGAATTGCTGGGGGCCAGCTGTCGCCCACAGGTCCCTCACAGCACTGCACTCCCAGAGGACGTGCCTCACGGTCTCGGGCGCGCCACACCCGGCCCGTGGGCAGATGGGATCCTTGGACATGCCTCTGGAGTGCATCACGGCCCTGACCGGGAGGATCTCATGGGCGACCATCCAAGCCAGGTCCCGGTGTCGGTTCTGAAGAGCTGAGTGGGACACATTCCGCCAAACCTTTTGGGCTTCCCTTTGAGTTAGCCCGCGGACTGGACACACTTGTTCCCGCTCCTGCACAAGGGAGAGGATAGAGCGACAATTTGTTAAAACAGCGACACTTTCTTTTACCAAATTAAAATTCTTTAAAAACTTCTTTATGTGGGTGTATGCTGAAGTTTGGTCGAAGGCGACTGGCATTGTCAAATCTGTCTTTAATAGTTTGTGAGTTCTTAAAAAGGACCCCATCCAAAACCGGGCCATGGCTGCTGTTTTTTCTTGTTTGGATGGGGTGAGGGCATATTTCATGTGTTGTGCGGTATAAAAAGCTCCTAAAAACAAGTAGAGGTCCGGAACGCCTTTTCCTCCCTTTTGTGGTGCTTTCTTCATAGTGGTTCTTTTCAGTCTCTCCCATTTAGACCCCCAGATAAAATAGAACATGGCCCAGTCCAAGGATACAAGAAAGAATCTGGGGGGGAAGAAAACAGAGCACAACAGTAAAAACAATGGCAAAATCACAGCTTTTATGATTAAAACCTTTCCTTCCAACGTCAATCCCCAAAAACCCAATTTTTTCTTTGCTTTACCCATCACATCATGCCAATTTCCACTCCCTCCCCCGTCTCTGTCAAATTTAATGCCCAGTATTTTTAAGTCAGTCTTTTTAATAGTGCAGTTGAGGCCAGCAAGCTCGTTGGGTTTCCAAGGGCCATAAAGCTGTGTCTGTGTCTTTTCCCTGTTAAGTTTTGCTCCCGATGCTTTCCCAAACCAGTCTGTCAAGTCCATAGTCCTCTGGATTGATAAAACGTGCATAAAAGATTGACATCGTCCATGTATAAAACAGTCTTTGCCGTCAGTCCTCCAGTCCCGGGTATAGTCAATCCATTGATCCATCTATCCCTTCTCAAAACCTGTGCTAGGGGTTCAATGCAAGCCACATACAGGAGAGGAGATAATGGACAACCCTGACGGACACCGCTGCGTATGTCTATCGCTTTTGAAAGATTCCCATTAACTAGGATTTTGCTGGTTATGTCTTTATACAGCAGTCCCACCCAAGCTAAGAATCTCCTAGGAAGCCCCATTTTTTCCAAAACTTGAAATAAGTAATGGTGCGAGACTCGGTCGAATGCTTTTTCAAAGTCTAAATTTAAAACTATCAGCCGAATATTTTTGTCTCTCGCATAACAGATGGCATCTCTTATCAGAATAAGGCTGTCCGTGATCTTCCTCCCAGGGACAGCACAGGCTTGATCCGGGTGGATCAGGTCTGCTAAAACTGTTGATAAACGTGTTGTTAAAAGTTTGCTAAAAAGTTTACAATCAAAGTTTAAAAGGGTTATAGGACGCCAGTTTTTTATATCAGTCTTGACATCTTTTTTGTGAAGTAAAGTCATTAAACCGGTCCTAAAACTGTCAGGGAGTTGGTCAGTCTTGTCAAGGTCATTAAAAACAGTCTTGTCTTAAAATGTCCCAAAAGGTCAAATAAAATTCTAGAGGAAGTCCATTAACTCCAGGAGTTTTCCCTTTTTTGAATTTCTTAATACTTTTGTCTATCTCAGAGAAATTAAAATCATTTGTCATTGCAATATCATCTTTAACTGTTTTCTCGATGTTTGTTAAAATTTCTCTTAAAATGCTATCATCACTTACCTTTTCTTCATACAGTTCCTCATAAAAACTTTCTACCACTGATATTATATACTTTGTGTCTGTCATTGTTTCTCCTTCTTTATTTCTCAGTTTGACTATTGCTCCACCTCTATCAATGATTTTCTTGAAAAAGTATCCAGTGCATTTTTCGCCTTCCCACACCAGGGCCAGGGCCCACACTCTCCCCCATCGGCTCGAGGTGAACCAAAAACAACTGATACCAGCTCTAAGTGAAATATTTCGGTTCCTCGCTATGAAAACAATAACTTTATCAAATGTTTACAGAACAAGCGGGAACCCAGTGTCCCTGAATCTTTCTCTATTGCTGTTCATTTACATGATCTAAAAAAATATAAGGCCTTCAACAGCCGTACAGCAAACCCATCTAATCTGGTGCCCATTACACGCCAAACTAAGACTGCTGTGAGGACAAAAAGTAAGACTATAAAGTTAGCACTTTTAAACATCAGCTCCATTAAAAATAAATCACTTCTAGTCAATGACTTAATAACCACACACAACCTGGACTTCATGTTTCTAACTGAAACTTGGCTAGAAGACAGCTGTAGTGCAACGGTCCTAAACGAAACATCCCCTCCAAATTTTACTTATATGAGTGTCTGCAGAGCGGGTAAGAGAGGTGGCGGCTTAGCTGCTCTTTTTAAAGATGTTTATCAATGTAAGCAAATATCATTTGGGAATTACCCCTCTTTCGAATATCTGTGTATTGTGTTAAAAGGTGCTCCACGTATTTTACTTATCATAGTTTACAGGCCTCCAAAATACTCTCCAGCCTTTGCTGAGGATTTTACTGAATTGCTATCAACAATTGCCTCTGAGTTTGACTGTTTTGCCATTGCTGGAGATTTCAACATTCACATAGATAACGCAGAAAACAACATGGCAAAAGATATTAAAACTGTTTTAAAAACTTTTGATCTGACACAGCATGTACACGGTCCCACACACAATCGTGGACACACTCTAGATTTACTTATCAGTACGGGTTTAAACATCTCATCGATTGTTATTAAGGATGTAGCACTGTCTGACCATTTCTGTATTTTCTTTGATATATTAATCTCTCCTGCCGTTGAAGCTAGAGCTGTGTCTGTCAAGAAGAGATGCTTAAATGAAAACACTGGTGTGCTATTTATGAAGGCTATAGCTTTAAAACCAAGCATATCTGCTGACTCTGTTGATTTTCTCCTTGATTCTTTTAACTCAAAAGTTAAGAGTGTAATTGATGATATTGCTCCTGTTAAAGTCAGGAAGAATAGTGGCAGACAAAAAGCACCTTGGAGAAACTCAACAGCTGTGCAAAATATGAAAAGACAATGCAGAAGAGCAGAACGCATGTGGCGGAAGACAAAACTTGTAGTCCATTATAACATCTACAAAGACAGCATCCACGCTTTCAATAGGGAACTAGGCAAAGCCAGACAGACTTTCTTCTCAAATATTATAAACAGCAATATAAACAAAACACACACTCTTTTTGCTACTGTAGAGAGACTGACAAACCCCCCAAGCCAGATTCCCATAGAAATGCTCTCAGACAGCAAGTGCAGTGAGTTTGCTTCTTTCTTTTCTGAGAAAATCAATAACATCAGAAAGGTGATCAGCACATTCTTGAGTTGCTCTGGGGTCAGGCAGATCAGACCACAACCTGAGAAAGTAGTTACTATGTCTGATTTCGAAGAAATTGATGACACAATTTTGGTAGAAACCGTACAGCACCTTAAAACATCAAACTGCGCCCTTGACACACTTCCCACATCTTTTTTCAAAAGTGTGTTAAACTGTTTAGAAGCAGATCTCCTAGAAGTGGTAAATGCCTCACTTCGCTCTGGGAATTTTCCGAACTCCCTGAAAAATGCAGTTGTCAAGCCCCTCCTGAAAAAGAGCAATCTGGATAAGACCATCTTGAGCAATTATAGACCGATCTCAAATCTTCCTTTCATAGGCAAGATCATTGAAAAGGTTGTCTTCAATCAGCTGAACAAATTCTTAAGCTCAAATGGATATTTTGACAATTTTCAATCTGGTTTCCGATTGCATCACAGCACGGAGACAGCTCTCATAAAGATAATAAACGACATTCGCTTAAATACTGATACAGGCAAATTATCCGTGCTGGTACTACTCGACCTCAGTGCTGCATTTGACACTGTTGATCACAACATACTTCTTGACAGGCTGGAAAACTGGGTGG